GGGGGCTCGGATGTCAGCGCCCTGAGTTCCGAGACGCGTCGTGCTGAGGTGATGGCTACGAGGAAGGCTGTCTTCCAGGATAAGTACAGGAGTGAGCAGGTCACCAATGGTTCAAACGGAGGCCCTGTGAGCTGGAGAGGACGAGGTTGAGGTTCCACGTCGGAACCGGTTGTCGTTGCTGTGGGTACAGCCGGTCTAAGCCCTTGAGGAATCTAACGACCATCGGGTTAGAGAAGACCGAGGACGTGAGTTCTCCTGGGTGGAAAGCGGAAATAGCGGCGAGGTGAACCTTGATTGAGGATGTCGCCAAGCCTTGCTGTCTTAGGGACAGGAGGTACTCCAATATCAAGGGGATAGGAGCCTGCGAGGGGGACGTAGGTCGTTGCTCACACCAACAGGAGAACCTCTTCCACTTGGCTAAATAAGTGGTCCGCGTAGAGGGCTTTCTACTTCCCAGCAGGACCTGTTGGACGGCCTGCGAACACTGCCGCTCTGAGCGACTCAACCATGAAGCATCCACGCCGTGAGGTGGAGGGACTGCAGGTCGGGGTGATACAGCCGGCCGTGGTCCTGAGAGATGAGATCCGGACTCAAGGGGAGCGTGATTGGTCTCTGTACTGACAGTTCCAACAGTGTGGTGTACCAGTGTTGTCTCGGCCAAGCGGGAGCGACTAGAATTACTCGTGCATGGTCCCTGCGGATCTTGAGCAGCACCCTGTGGACCAGCGGGAATGGAGGAAAGGCGTAGAACAGATGGTCTTTCCATGCCATGAGGAAGGCGTCTGACCGAGAGCCCGGGGCTCGCCCGTGTAGGGAGCAGAATGCCTGGCACTTCCTGTTGGCCCGAGATGCGAACAGGTCGATCTGGGGAAACCCCCACCTTTGGAAGACGGAATAGATGATGTCCGGGCGAATCGACCATTCGTGCGTCTGGAAGGACCTGCTGAGACGGTCCGCCAGCGTATTCTGGACTCCAGGCAGGAATGACGCCGTGAGATGAATCGAGTGGGCGATGCAGAAGTCCCACAGGCGAATGGCCTCTTGGCATAGGGGAGATGAGCGAGCTCCGCCTTGCTTGTTGATGTAAAACATGGCCGTGGTGTTGTCGGTGAGAATCAGCACGCAACGGCCCTGTAGGAAGTTGAGGAAAGCCTGACA